CCGGCAGCGCGCGGAGTCCCTCCTCCCAACCACGGACCTACGAACTCCTTGGAGATGGAGGCTGGAGGCACTGCCGTGCTGCCGGCAGCGCGCGGAGGTGCGGGGCTTCTGTAACGTGTCGTCCTGACGCCACGTTACAATATATACATTGTGACATATTTTGCGCGATCAAGCCTCGCCGGAAAATGCAATACCGACCGGCGCACAACTTTTGCGATTACTACGCGTTCCAGGCAACCCAGGGGATAACAAACTCTAACGTGAAATACTTACGGTATTGTTTGGCGCCAGGTTCCAAAACGGGAACCACATATCAATTCCGCCGATTCGTTTTCGCGTGCCTTCTTTGTCTAACTCAGCTACGCGGAGGCGTCGGGATTCGGAACAGTAGGTCGGATGGGTCAGATAATCACACGACACACAAAATAATTCAGAGGCTTCGATCTAATATCAAAAGGTTCGGTTTATTGAGTAACTCTGCACGCACAGTCAAATCACGAAACAATAAAAACCAAATACCAAGATCTGCACGAAAACACGTCGCTCACAAAAGTCAAATGCACTCGGTTACCGTGGCGTTCCCTTGATCGCATAATCCAACAAACCCAGGCTGCTGCCTCTTAGCACTAAGTGCACTCACGTACAAACTTCCAAACAAAGCAAACAAAAACGTGCGGCGATGTCGCGTGTCCAAGCAAGATTGATTTTCCATCTTCACATGCTTTGTCTTTGCGTGAAGGATAGCACCCCCTCCCTTAGGCTGATGAGCAGCGATTCGCTCTGCGGACGATCCTTCAACCCAGAATCTTCGCCACGTGCCAGTTTCGAAGATGTCAACGCGACAATCAATAATTTGGATAATAACTCGTGGACAATTCATAAATATCGATCCTACGACGAGTTTTATTTGTCCTTACGCGTGGGTGCACCAGGCGTCCCTGGATTCCCAACTCGCGGAAATAAAATTATGCGATACCTAACGGTGGGCGCTAGGCCATAGGGGTCGGTAGCGGTGCTCATTCATTGGGCGATTTGTTCGCCACTTCCAGTCATCGTGGTTGAGTCTCAGTAGGGCAGGGTGCATTGCTGCCGCGTGACGTCACGTCTGTCCCACGTTGCGCGCGCCTCCTGAGTCAGTAGACCTGCTTTCCAGAGATAGCGCAAGTGTCGACCCTCTGTGGCGTAGAAGGAGAAGGGGGTTCTACAGAGTTCAGTTCTGCGGAGAATAAGACGCCGAAACAAGCTTCGCCGAAGCAAGCACGCCCAGAGCGGTAGAGCCCTTATTTAATAGACAGAATAAAGAATTTGTATTGTACGGTTGTTGTTTTCCAAATCCTACCAGTGGTACGCGTATCCCACATTTGGTGTCCCCGACGTGATCCAGGAAGATTACGATATCTTACTCGACGCAGTCGAATCCATTAGTTTGCCGAACAAAGGAGAATGGCCGAAGATCCAGAGGTAAGCGTGTGCCGGGTTGCAAGGGTTCCACGTTTGAACAAGCGAAATGTAAGGGCTTGGATAGCCCAGGTTGAAGCAGAATTCGAGATTAACCGAATAACTAACATCTCGAGATTTCGTCGCTTGATAGTCGGTCTTGAGGTGGCCGTGGTCGACCTCGTGGCAGATCTAATCACTACCGCCCCAGAAGAGAATAGCTAGAATTTAATTAAGGAACGACTGATTAGTCTCCACGAAGAATCATCAGAAGAGAAACAACGCATCCTGCACTCCATGGAATTAGGCGAGGACAGACCTATTTTGTTCCTGGCTTGCTTGAAGCAGTACGCAGGTGACCAAGATAGTGAAGCTACGCATCGGTTTTTGTTTCTGGAGAAGATGCCAGAAGTTGGCTGAAGGCTACATTTGATGGCCAGTAGAGAAAAGGATTTGTTGAAACTGGCATTCCAAACTGATCGCATCATGGAGGCGGTCAGACCACGAGTCTCCTCGCTAGCATCACACACCAGGCCCCATACAGAGGGCACATTAGACACAGAGGATCAACAAGCAGACAAAGCAGATTTGGAAGATACCGTGGAGGCAGTTAATCGCAAACCAAATAATTTCAGTCAGTACAGAAGAACTGATGCAGCCGTGGGATCTGAAGCATTGAACAACAGATTTTGTTTTTATCATCAGAGATTTTGAAAACTAGCACTTAATTGCGAAGGCAATTGCCAGTTCGGACGTCAGGGAAACGCCAAGCACCATCGTCAGTAGAGGTGTTGAACGATGGAAACACAACAAACTGCCTCATCATCACGGACAAAAGGAGTGGCATGCAGTTCCTGCTGGATACGGGAGCAGAGGTGTCAGTGCTGCCTCGTAAGGTTTCCGGTGAGTGAGTCTCAGTACAAATTATATGCTGCCAATGGATCACCGATAAAGACTTATGGAACAAGAGTGCTTACCATTAACCTGGGATTGAAGAGACTATGCACTTGGGAGTTTTGCGTAGCTGAAGTGGAACGGCCAATCATCGGTGCAGATTTCTTGAAGAAAAATGGGCTGGTAGTGGATCTCAGGAATCGATGTCTGACTGAAGAGGTCCTCAGAACCAAGATACTGGGCAGCATTCACATGAGCATTGGCAGCATCACAACAGTTACACACGAAAGTGACTACCATAAGCTACTGGAGAAATTTCCTGATATAAAAACGCCACGCAGAACCGATGTACATGCGAAGCATCAGGTAGTGCATCATATAGAGACAAGAAGAACCCCAGTGGCGGAACACTCACGCAGATTAGCACCCGATAAACTTAAAATAGCTAAAGCTGAGATTGATTTAATGATCGGGCAAGGGATTTGCAGACCGTCAAAAAGTCGATATGCCAGCCCTCTCCACATGGTCCAGAAGAAGAATGGGGACTGAAGACCGTGCGGTGCCTACCGGCGATTGAATGCTGTAAGAATACCGGATAAATATCCTGTGGCACATATTCACGACATCACAACCCATATCAGAGGTAAGCCAATATTTTCCATTATTGATCTTAAATACGTTTATCGTCAAATTCCAGTTGCCGAACGAACCGTCCATAAGACCGTTCTCATCACTCCGTTTGGATTATTCGAGTTTCCGATCATGCTATTCGGATTACGCAACGCAACTCAAACATTCCAAACATTCATGGATGAGGTACTCAGAGGCTTGGATTTCGTCCACTGCTATATTGATGACTTGTTCGTCGCTTCGTCGAACGAGAAGGAGCACCTGCAGCATCTTGAATTGTTATTCAGACGTCTGCAAGAGTACGGACTCACCATTAACACAGCGAAATGCAGTTTTGGAAAACAGGAGGTAGACTATCTGGGGTACAGAATAAGCAAGACCGGAGTCCAGCCGCTTCCAGATAAAGTTGCCGTAATTACAAATTTCAAGAAGCCATCCACCGTAGAAGGACTAAGACGTTTCCTCGGCATAATACATTTTTATCGCAGATTTATCACGAATGCATCACGTATTCAAGGGCCACTGCATGAATACCTGAAAGAATATAAAAAAAGAGATAAACGTCCGATCAACTGGACGACTGTTGCAAAACGGGCATTCGAAGACTGTAAGCAGAGCCTGGTTAATGCAACATTATTGGCACATCCACACGAAGGAGCAGAATTCGTTATCACTTCAGATGCATCCGACATGGCCATTCGGGCTGTTCTCGAACAGTTGAACCTTTAGGTTTTTTTTTTCGAGGAAACTACATGAAGTGGAGCTTCGCTATAGCACCTATGACCGAGAACTCTTGACAGTATACGAAGGGATCAAATATTTCAGACACCTAATTGAAGGATAATCGCTGTGCGTTAAGACCGACCATAAGCCCTTAATTTACGCTTTCCAGCAAAAATCAGACAAGGCTTCTCCACGTCAACTTCGCCACTTAGTTTATATTGGTCAATTCATCACTGATATACGATACACCATGGGCAACACCAACACACTAGCAGACACACTATCAAGAGTAGAAGTTTTGAATACACCAGTGATTACCGACACCCGGGAACTGGCTGAAGAACAGAGTAAAGATGAAGAATTATCGCAGCTTCTACAATCTGATACAGGTTTACGACTGATTCCCTTACGTGTAATTGGTTCCGACACGACAGTATATTGTGATGTATCAACAGGCACCGCTCGGCCGTACATTCCAAACTCGCTATGGAAGAAAATATTTGACGTGTGTCATAATTTGTCGCATCCTAGTGGCAGAGCTACAAGTCACACCATCCAAGAACGATTTGTCTGGCCTAAGATGAAAAAGGAGATCATGCAATGCGCCCACACATGCCTCCCTTCTCAACTCAGCAAGGTCCAACGTCACGTCCGGGACAAGGACACACATGTTCCGATTCCAGACGAACGATTTTCGCATGTTCATCTTGACCTCGTAGGACCTCTGCCATCTTCAAACGGATATAAGTATTGTCTCACCATGATGGATCGGTTCACTCGTTGACCCGAAGCGATTTCCATCAAAAACACATCAGTAGTTACATACCACTTCTGGCCGTCACAACAAACCCCCACCACTATCCCCCATGAGTCATGGAGCGCGCAGCGCTCTGGCTCTCCACGCCGCGCTATGACGTCACCCGCTTTGCCAATGTGGGCAGCTCTCCCCACCCCTCAGCTATGAGATGATACCCCACCATGCGGTCCTAAGGTCCGAAAATTCCCAGCGGTGTTGCATGCCCCCAGGGGCCTATCACGGTCGGTAATTATGTATTGACCACCGGTCGGTAACTTTTTAATTACCCTAAGGAGGTAACGTGGTAAAGTAGAATACGGTTCTTCTTTGTAAGAAATACCTTATATTATACAAGTATCGTACGCATTGACGATACTTTTTCGATACCGTTAGCTATCGATGAGTGGTCATCCAACCCCCTAATATTTTACTCGGGATGAACCCTCCACATGTAAAGTAGCTGCTTCTGGAATGCTGGTGCCCCTCTTTTGCTCAATCTAGCGAATGATGCGCAAATACGGTTGGCGTGGGGGTACCACTGTCTTGACCAACCCTCTGAATTCCAGGCCCTCGTAACCCCTACTACATGTGTCTCTTATTTGCAACTATGCAAAAAATCAGGGCTATGATGGGGAAAAAGATGGTTATCTGTGAGATGTCGTCGCGGCATCTCGTCAGTACCTTGGTGCCCATTGCAAAATACAGTAAATACTGAATACCCATAAATAAAAGTGGTGATAAAGACAAAAAACAGTTCAGAACCAGTGGTAAGTGTAAAAAAATTTTTCTCGTTTCCAATTTCTAACATAGTTATTTCATTTAATGTTTATCCTGTTTTCTAGGCTAATTCGGGGGAAAAAAAGAGAGTACGGGAACTAGAACTAAAGCACGGGAAAAAAAGAAAATATTAATAAAGTGGTATGCATATCTGTGTTGAGCTTGTATACATTTTTTTTATTTTTTTTTATTTTGTATCTGACATCTTTGACATTTATTTCTAAATATTACAAAAAAAAAAAAGGACGGACCGCACCAGGCCCCTTCAGGCTACAGCCGAGTGTCACCTGAGCTGTAAGTGTAATAATTTTAAACCTGCACAGGTTTAAAAAAAATTTTTAAAATACAATTTAAAAAATTGTATATATCCGACACCTTTTACGCTTATTTCTAGACGCAGCAAGGACGCATAGCGCTATCCGACGTAATCGTCAATTATATATATTACGGGACCAGTAAGTGTAATAATTTCAAGACTACCCTGTTTTGTATTTACTTTAAGCATATTTATTAACAAAAAAAACTGAAATGTTACAGATCATGGTACCAAGATGGCCAGATACACCGCCCCAGGGGGCAGAAGGACCATTCGAGGGGCCACTGCTGGATGGGATACCGCCGCCTCTCAATGCTTTCTTCGCCCCCTTTCACGAGGGCTAGTGCTTATTCGGCTGCTTATACGTGCGGGGCGGGGAGGAGGAGGAGGAGCTATGCTACGGGTGTGTTATTTTAAAAGAAACTCAGGAAGACCACGTGATACTAGTATTGTTACTCTATTTAATTTAGCAGTGAACCACGTGCAAGCAGTATACATACCGTGGGCAAGTCAAGGATGATTATACAAATACGGAAGACGATGGATCAGTAAATTGTATTTATAACGTAACAATCAGCACAGAATGTCGTCCAACCAACAAACTGGTCGTAATGATTTCAATTGTATTACATACTACAGAAGACAATTATACAAGGTGTACTTATCTATATGTTTTGTCACGCGAGTCCTGTCCTAACAGCGTCCCGGCCCACACACAACTGAACTCTCCCCCGCTTCCGTCCCATCCCCACGCTGCTTCTCTTTTATTATTGTTCTTCTCAAACCAACCCTCCCTTGCTTCTGACCAATCACAGAGGGTCATAAACACACCATTTATCTTCGATTGATCTTGAGTTTTACAAAACTAATCAATACTCTAACAGGTGCATGCGAGCACAGACGGCTGAGCACAGAGCGGAGTACACAGCGCGTGTAAAACATTATTTAAAGATTGACCCCGCGATAGATCTGCGCGTGGGCGCCTGTGTATGCTGTGCTCGGTGTGTGATCCACGCGTATGCACCCAGCGATTGCATAGCTTGCATAGGGTACTTCTGCGATAATAGGGAGCTGTTATTAAGGCAGGGGGTTGCAGAAGTCCCTCCCCCGCCCCAGGTATGAGATGTAAATATGTAAATTTTTTTGTCATACGTCATTATTTATTATTATTATATATATATTGTAACGTGGCATAAGGCGCCCGGCTTGGGTGCGCCACGTTACATTAAGGGATACAACCCGCGGGTCCGCGTCTAAGGGTCGCGCGATCGGGGTGGGAGGGGGTTCAGCTGCGGTGGCGGCGGGGCGGATCGGAAGGCGAGGCACGAGGGCCGATACCCTACGCTGAGGATGCCACCGACCGCCCGCTTCCCGCTAACCGTCCGCTGGACACCTGATCGTCCCGACGAGCGGCCCGGACGGCAAG